CTGTGTGCCTGTGTGTGTATGTGTGTGTGTGCGTGTGAGTGTGTGTGTATGTGTGTGTGTGTGTGTGTGTGTGTGTGTGTGTCTGTCTGTCTGTCTGTCTGTCTGTCTGTCTGTCTGTCTGTCTGTCTGTCCACGCTATTGGCGCCCTGCTCAGTTCTATTTTTGCCAAGTTTCTATCTCCACCATCTTGAGGGAGGCATCCTATCATCCTTTCAATTTTGTCTGTTTCTTTCAAAATAATCTGACTCCTTGCAATGCCGCTGTCCAGGTATGTTTGAGGTGGTGGGCAGTTGACGGGCGTTCTAGTTTGATTTGGTCCTTCTTTCCTATCAAACATCTATTGTCCTTATCTCCCCTCCTCCTGTTTTGTGTGCGTTACTCCTAGTAACACCTCTGATCTTCGGCACTTATTATGACCTTGTTGTATTGTAAGGGCCATAAAACTCTTACTAAAAGTAAAATTGTTTGAGATGAAACAGGCTTCATCATGATATAGAAATCATATTATATTATTTATTCCGTCTGTTCTTTTTCAGCCATGGAAGCTCTTCCACAATGTCCTCCCATCAACACCGCGAGGCTGAAGCCTTTCAGGCAAAGGCTCAACAAGACCATTGTAAGTACACACAGGTCAAACATAGTTGAACCTGCTCTAACGACCACCTGTATAAGACAATGACCTGTACAAACGACCTCGTCCCTTTTCCTCGCTTGAGTATTTTTTGACGTTGTTTTTGACTCGGTGTAAGATGGCCGCCTAAGACGGCTACCTGTTTAAGACGAACAACTGTCTAAGAAGGTAACTTTTTCTCCTCTATAATGGGTGTCCGTCTTAGACAGGTTCAACAGTAATTCTGTTCTTTGGCAGGAATATATAGCAGGCAATACGTTTTCATATCAATTTGATGTTGACAGCTCATTCATCGTGCAGAAAATACTATAACATCAAAAAGAGAATAGGCCTACGGCAGTATAGTCGAACCTACTATTACGGACTTACCTGTCCAAGACAATCACCTGCACAAATGACCACTTTCCACTTCTCCCTTGCGTTTTTTCAGCATTTAATAACACTGCCAACGACATCTCAATTTAAAGAGCTGTTCAGAGTTGAAAACTGCTTAAATTTATCAATGAAGCTCAGCGGCAATAGAGGATGAAAAAGTAAAAGTACAACTTTGTCTCTCCTAGCCAGTGGCAAAGCCACGCAATTTTGATTATAATGTCACTAAAACTCACACAGCCATACGGGTCTGATAATAATAACTTTTGGCCTTGTTTCTCAGATGACCATAACAGACAGTGGCCATGTTTCCATGGAGCTTGTGGGTCAACTAAGTGGTCAGTGTGACGGCCCAGAGGGAGTGAAGGAGCTGTTCCACGTGTCGCCAGATGGCCTGCAGGTGAGGCTTTGTTGGAGTCTTGCTACTGGGAAATAACATTTTATAAGTTATTATCGTAAATTAAATAAGGAAAGATCCCTGAAAGCTTCTTGTTCTCTCTTTTTTTTTCTTTTTTCTTCTCCCCCCCCCCTTTTTTGGGAGGGGGGGGGGGGGGCGTTTAGATAACCGAAGGCTACTTTATGGGAGGTCTCAATAACTTATACCGGTTGTCCATCAGCTCGATTTTGTCGGTTTGTGGCTAGCCGAATGTCCTCCACGAGAGGCACAAAACCGACGGAGCCAATGATGACCTTCAATAACAAACGCGTTTGTTTTCATGGCCGCATGTCGGATGATCGGTTTGGGCTGGGTTGTTGGTCTATCTAGCCGCCAGAAACCGAACCGAATCGATCCGAACCGGTCCTCCAATGGGCACCCGGTATTATGAACACTGTATGGTATTCTAATTGGGTGCAAACGCATAATGTAAGTGAAACCGAATTTGAAACAAAATGTAGTTTTAAAAACAAGCTGAAAAATAGTCTATTTATGATAGTAGGTTTCTTGAAAGGGACGCCATATTTTGGAACAAGAAAATAATCTTGTTATTCAGTACACTTTTAATCATGTAGCTTAAACAACACATCTTTTCTTTTATGTTTGTCGCTGTAGCCGTGACCAGTAGGATTCGCTTTAGTTTTCGTAAGAGTTCGACGTCATTTCCTACACGATTAGGTCATACAAGTGTTGGTCTTAGAGGAAGGGTATTACTAAAGAGAAACATACACACGAAAAGAAGGAGGAGAGATAATGACGAAATAATTACGTTTGAAAGGAAAGAAGGAGCAAACCACACCACGTCCAAAGTGTCTGAAAACCACCCACCCTGTAGGATTTTTACGCAGACTTCTGTCAATATAATGTGCTGAGAATCATAGCCTAGCTGTCATTTTTGTCGCACGTCTGACTTTATTATTCCCCTGTTATATTGCAGATCGAAATTTACCAGAATCCTGAAGGAGTTGCCTCCCTGGATGGCTGCCCCATGCCGAACCAAGCACACAAGGTGTACTCGTACCCAAACGTGTCATCCAAGCATTGGAAGAAATATTTACACGCTTATAAGTAAGGCTTTTACTTCTTAGACTTGTTTTACTGTTTTGTTTTTTAAATTTTGTATTTTTACTCTTTTTCATTGTTTATTATTCTGTCATAATATGAGATGCTTCACATCTTTAATTCCACTTGCACTTATGTCTGTATGCATTGTGACTGTCAGATAGCAATTTTATGATGCATTGTATTCTGAGAGAGACCTATTGTTTCGAAAATGCCACCAAGACATTTGGCACTTATAACCTTATATGTCGGAGGAAGAAATTTAACATTTTCTTGTTGTTGATCCAAAGGCTGTTGAGATGTTAATAAACTCTCTTTGAACAAACTTAAACCTCACAGACAATAATCTATCAAAATTGAATAGACTTAAAATTGACAATCATGTTGTAGTTACACTTTTAATCTTGATTTCATTCACTTTTTTCTTTTCAAAGATTTGTTGATGTTGTCAAATCACGAACGTCCAAAGTGTCCTTAGTGACGGAGAGAGCCCGGTGTAAACTCATGGAGAACTCACCACAAGCAGATTTTCAAGCCAACTTTATAGATGGTGAGCGCCCAGTCTTGTCATCATTATTATCATTATTATTATTATCATTATTATTATTATCTTTATCATTATTATCATTATTGTTATTATCGTTCTTGTTATTATTATATATATGGACAATTTTTCTCTGCTTTTAAGTCTTTCTTGTATATTCATTCAGGTTGAAACGCGTGTCACGAAATATTTATTTTGCATAGTAAAAATTCTTCAAAACACAGATGTTGGATTCATTATATTGAATAATCATGGCACAGTTTCAATACTGGACGAAGCTGAAAAAAAATGTCATTTGAAAGGGGTGCGTTTGGTCCTCTGATTATAGTTTTTAAAAACAGTTGGAATAGAGAAGGAAAGACAAAAAAAACACAAAAAACCTGCCAACACCCCCCCCCCAACAACAAAAAACAAAACAAAAACAAAACAACAATAACAGCAAAACAAAACAAACACAAGGGGAAAGGGGGGGGGGGGGGGGGGACATACTTGCAGAAAAGGGCGCAGTCATGAGGCTGAACAAAAGAAAAAAAATAAATGTTTGTTTTTAGGATAAAGAAAGTACATTTGTACGTTGTACTTTGATTTTACCCAAGTCCTTTTATAGTATTATGTATCTGAACTGATGTCTTCCAACAGGTGTGAACATTGTCTTGAGCAAGTCCTCTGTCATCATCACGGACAAGGACGGCAGTTCTCTCACCCTGGACGCTGATGCCCTCAACAGCCGGGTCTGTGACGCCACCAGAGAAATGATTGATTATGCAAAACAGGTAAATAATTAGAATAACTTACTTGGTACTTACTTGGTTGGAGAATAGGCATCATTGCATGCGGCACCATACTATAGCTGTTCCTTCTTCCTCTCCAGGATCCATGAAAGGATCTGCCTTGTGATCGTGCCAGTTAACAGCTGGTTGGATATTAATAATTAGAATTAGAAAAGAAAAAGAAAGAATTGCTTTTACTATGTGAATAGGTAAAGCAACGTCTTTTAGGTCCAGACGTGAGTTACCTTCACTCTTGTGTAGTTTTTAGCTACAAAGGAATTAGTTTTGTAAGTTTTTTTAAAAACACGTATAAAATTATTTATCACGCAATAGGTTTTTCTTTGTTTTTCGGATATATTTATAAAATTCTCAAGTGTTCATTATAAAGCAGACAAGTTATTTCTGTTCATAGCCGGGCTTTCTTATTTCTTGTTACGGCTGTTTTTGTTGCTTTTAATAGAGTGCATAAATTCTAATTGTGTCTCTTCAGAAATTTAAAACATTCACACAGCGCTTGTATGTTATATCAGTGCAGTGTGCTATTCGATTCTCATGAGGGGAGAATCTTTATCGAGTATCTCATCTCGGTCTTTCTGTTCGGAACTGTATCCCTCTCATCCCGAGTTGGACCTGACAGGCAGGATAGAGCCCGCCTCCTAAATCATATCCTCCTAAAAAAACACAATATATAGATCAGATCTATATTTTTTCTGCAAAATAATAAAAACAAACTATATTGTAGTTGGGGGGGGGGGGGGGTACATGATCTATTGAAGCATGTTTTTTACTAAAAAGAAAAAGATCGCATTTTTCTGGGCTTCACTTGACAATTAAAATTGTATGATATAGTAGAGTTGGAAAAAAATCACTTTCCGAGGCACTTGAATAGACATAAATGCCTTGAACAACTGGTTCTCGATGGCAAAACTGAAGGCAAATGAGGCAGAGCAACCTTCTCGGAGAGCCTAAAAATACAAACGTCAAAATCTTCACAGTTACATTAATATCGTTGATGCTGTGTTGCTGTAAAGCCTCTGTGAACTTGTAGGCGCAAATGTATATCCTGCATGACATTCTCAACGTAAAAGACCACAGGGATGGACTGTGAATGTACCAATAAGAAGATGGCTAGATATTGTATGATCTTTCTACTCATTCAGTGTCAAGCTCAGTGTGTGGAGATAGAGAAATCTGTGGGCGTGCTGCACTCTCGAGACTCCTCCAAGGAATATTTTCCCATCACCATTGGCACGTAAGTACTATATGCTTAATGCCTAACCCATACAACCAAAGCTCTATTGAAGCTAACTTTTTAACCAGTCTTGATATAAAGGTATTCTTTCGAAACTCTTTGTATTGACATTTAGAGAAAAAAAGCCACAACTACCGAACATCAAATATGCTTACAAACTCGTGTTTCTGATTTGTGAGTGATGGTTCGAAATATTATTATGCCTATACATTGCCTTCAGCCTGCAGCTAATTGGATTTATTATGTGCCTGCTACATCCTTAAAGAGCTAATAACGTACCTTCATTTATTCCTCTCGAGATTTTGTGGGGGCTTAGAGAAAGATTGAGAAAAACCAATACTTGCCTCTAACAGCACCAGTTTGTGTTTACTTTGCCAATATAGTGCTGAGTGCTCGTCTCGTAAACCTCATGAGGGAGGAAATAAAAGACATGCTTTGTTATCAAACAGACACATACTTCATATTTTCACAGAAACAGCGCACCCTTCCACATCACAACTCAGGTAGCTGGCAAAGAACTCTCAGAACCTTCCACCTCTGATAACACTCATTATTCTCGAGAGAAATCCTACTCAGTGTTGGCTCCGGATCACCACACCGTCCAACAACAGAATTTCCAACACCACGTTCCAGCCTCACCGTCCTCTGATGGTCCTTGCCATGGAGAGGACCCTGCCTCTGTCTACCAGAGCCCCAACAATGCCAGTGAGTTTTCTTACACTCCCGATCCCTTGTACCTGGGAGTGGACAACCACAATGTACCTGAGTGGTTTTGTGGTACTCACCCGAATGAGGGCTTTGAACCGAGTGGAGGAAATACTCACGAGGTACCAGCACAGTTCTCCGAGTTCGTCGACAGTAGCTGTAGCCCTAGTGTCGCCAGCCACTCAGCAACGAACACTCCGCAGAAACTCAATTACTCCACAGCTGTGCTAAGTTCTGACCGGCATGACGTCAGTGCAGGGTCAGGGTTACCGAGCAGTTTGATGTTGGCCTCAGGTCTTCCATTGAGCGATATGTATACAGCTCAACAGATGCCTTACAATGGTCCCATCAGTCATCCAGACTCAAACCGTAATCATTTTGGAACTTTCAATGAGTCCATTGGTTGTGGAAATTCCTGTGATCTTTTCGAGCAGCCGTCCACAGTGCCATTTACCCCCGTGTGCCAAAGTATACCCCCGGTAACGCTAAGTGACTACAGTACACCAAAGAAAACTCAACACCCTCATAAACATTTACTAGGGTATAGTGTAGACTCCAACAAGAAGCATTATGCCAGACAACAAGAACAGTTGGCCTTTTCAGTGCAAGCTCTTGTCACCCCAGAAAAAGTGAAGAGTGTACGCAAGAATTTGTTTCCTGACACTTTGCTGACACAGCCGTTACGTTCCCCTGTGCCTACAACAAGTGTTCATACTCTGGACCCAGATTTGATCGCCTGTCGCCCAACTCCGTCTTTAGAACTCTCTGACTGTAGTGACGGTGACGAATTTGACGTGAACGCTGCCCAAACTGGAGCGACTGCGTCGAATGATAATCCTCCCAACCTTTTTTCGGCACATGATGAGAATTCACCCTCTCTGCCTTTCTCTTCCGTTCGGCAAGGCAGTGAAGTCATGGCATCATCAGACTCTTTAAGTAAGTGCTTTTCTCGAAATAGTGCGTATGCAGTTCAGCATTTTCAACCCATGGAACAAAAGATTGACAGCCTAGAGCAAGTTATGCCAGGACAGAGTAATTTACCAGAATCCATGAATGAATCCATGGGTTCATTGGTTAGCTTATCAAATGCTGTAGCCATGGGCCATTCAATGCAAACTCAGAAATTAGTATCCTGTGATATTCAAGAAGTTGAAAACTCCCTTAGAAAGTGCCAAACTCCCCTCCCCTGTTCATCTCCAAAGAAGAGAATGCCTGTCAGGAAAGTGGCATGCTCTTCTCCGTCAAAGCTCTCGTCTCTAGCGGAGGACATGAGTACTTGCTCTCTTGAGTCCCTGAGCTCCAGTGAAAACAGGGACAGCCTTATTTCCCCAGAGCAAACCCATCACACTACAGCTGAGAATTCCTGCATGGCTTCTCCACTCCGACTGAAAGAGAGCAGGTCAAGAGAATTCAGTTTGACACCAAAAATAGAAAAAATTTCGTCCAGGCCGAGAGATAACCCAAACCATTCCAGCTCAGATTCAGGGTTTCAGAGTCAGAGGAAACCGGCGGTTCCCATGTCTCCTCAGAAAGAATTTGTCATGCCGTCCATGGCCGACAGAAGCGGTCTTGACCTGTATCTTCCAACACAGGTTCGCAATTCCTTGGATATGTCCGTGTCCAGTTACTACAGCGACAGTCCCAGCAGCACGCCGTCCTCCGGCTGTGACCCGATCCGGCAAGTGTTTGTGCCGTACACCGGCTGGGCTTCATTCTACGCCACGGGCGCGGTCTGGATTCTGTACAACGACGGGACACAGCTCGGGGTCAAGTCCACAGAGGCCGCCATGATCTACATCGACCAGGACGGGTCCCAGAGCAAGTGAGTGGTTCACTGTGGTCTTTATTGGGACAGTAGTTTCTAGTTGTGGGCACGTGTTCATTAATTAATGGTAGGGACGCCTGCTATGAGGCAAAAGGAAGGATATATGGGACTTACTGAGTTCAAGTTTGATGAAGTGAGATAGAATATTTGGAACAATATAGGCTTTGGTCTCTATACATGTGACAAAAATACTTACTTAGAAAAAGAAGATTGAAAAACATTTTTGTATTTATGGGAAATATTACAAAAGACATACATCACTGACTGGGAATGGCCTATGTTTTTAAATTTTTTTTTATAAAGCTGATTACTTTTGCATACCTATCCACATTCACTTCTTCCCTGTCACCCCTTGTTGTCCACACCAAAAGCAATAGCATAAAGCAAAATGTTCTAACTTCACATAGTATTTATACTATACACCATTTACCAGACATCTAACTTAATATCTTCACTGGTCTTACGTAAGCATATATTCGATTAACCAAAAGTCTAATCTCAGAAACAAATGTCCGACAATGCCCTGATACATCGTTCCTTATCTCGCCCTTTTCTCTAGGTTCAAGAACGGAGACCCAGTGCCAGAGATAGTTAAGTTGAAGCTAGAGAAACTCCCGACTGTGATCGACCTGCTCATGAAAAGTCCTGCAGCTGGAAGTACATGATCTGGCATTACTGATCAGCGTCTGTTGATCCGTTCTAAATGAACTGCAAATTACACGTATAATTGTGTGTATCCCCAAACAACTGCACCTCTTTCTAAACAAAACACTACATCAGAATTATAAGGTTCTATGTGATCAGTTTTGAGAAATTTGACGTCAAAGATTTGGAGTTTCAACATCATGTCAAGCTTTTTTGGAATGCAATTCTTTGAATATCTTGATAACAACTCCAAACATTCTTACGATTTTGATAGAGCAGATAGAGCCACAAAAAGGCCTAAAATGTCAGATAGACCTTTGTCATTCTGAGGTACGTAGCGAAATGCTAAAAGCATATTAATTGATTGTTTCTCTGTTGGTACTGTTAGGCTTAGAACCAAAGTGATCATGGTCTGTATACTTCGTGTGTAGCTGGGGATTGACACACTTATTGCTCACTGTTCAGACCTAGCAAATAACACACCCATCTGAGAGGATGTATATTATCATTTGTGGTGCACATAACTCAAGTGCGGGCATTACTGCTTGAGGGAAAGAAATAATTGTGTGAGACTCACACCAGCAGTAGAAAATGAAAGGTATTTTGTGTCAAAGTGTACTTAAACGGGTTACCTTGTCATTGTACATACTGTGGATAAGTTAGGTGTCTATCAACGTACAGAACGTGGAAAAAAATGGGGATTATTTCTGACGACACAGTCAAATTAAGCTCTTCTTTTGGGTTTACTTTAAATTCGAGAATAAAGAAAAATGTTGAACATAATATGCGTTCATTATGATATGTAGCCGCAAGTAGGTAGACATATGTACTATCATGGTTGTATCGTAAAAGTAGTGTAAACGCTTGAAAATTGTACCTTTTTTTTCCTGGGAGCGGAGCGCTTTCTGTGAGGTTGATTTGGCTCATAACATAAAACATGTTCCCTTCTATGTACTTTTGATAACATGTATTTTTATATTGTTATGTTACATACAGCTGCATGTGATACACCTTCGTTTTTGAGGCGCTTTCCATCAACTTACAAAGAGAGGTTGGACCAGCTCAGAACCACTCACAATGTATGACTATAGATGCGTAATTTGCCACCTCAAAAATATCCTGCCAAAAACGAATTGTAAGAAAGAAGTACAACGACATTTCGCTGATATACCACCCCGTTCTCCTTTTTCTAATTAAATGTTTTCAAAAGCTTTTCCTCTCTTGTTTCCAAAGGTGCCTAGCTTTCAGCTTTGCTGTGTACGGTAATCCACCATCGTGGAATACAGTAGCCCTGTGTTTGAGTCCAGTAATACAGGAACAGATTTTTCGCTTCTTTTAAAAAAAAAATCATACTTGAGACTGTAAGGTTAAGAAAGGTTTTAGGTTTTAAAAAAGATATCACTATGTACAGGGGCATTAAGCTCTTATTCTCTGAGACATTTATTGTGCTCAATGAGTGCAAGACCTCTGCCATGAGAGAGAGAGAGAGAGAGAGAGAGAGAGAGAGAGAGAGAGAGAGAGAGAGAGAGAGAGAGAGAGAGAGAGACATAGATAGATAGATAGATAGATAGATAGATAGATAGATAGATAGATAGATAGATAGATAGATAGATAGATAGAGAGAGAGAGAGAGAGAGAGAGAGAGAGAGAGAGAGAGAGAGAGAGAGAGAAACAGTCAGACAGACAGACAGACAGACAGACAGACAGACAGACAGAGACAGAGAGACAGAGAAAGGTGATAAAGTCCACTTCTCCACGTTTATTTTTTACTTACATCTTATAGTAATGAGGCTTTAATCATATTGGATTTTGCCGTTACATGAAAGGTCTATGTTGACTTGAACCTGAGCATTAAAAAAGTGTGAAAAACTCTGAGCTGAAGTAATGAGCTTGGTACGCCATGCTGAGGACGCGTCTGAATCGTTGACTGAATTAATTATCACTTGAGAGAGAATAACTGATTAATTACTTGAACATTGCATGCAGTGATATTGAGGTGCAACTCAGGATTTTAGCGTCAACGTTATATTATTATGTCCTTGTATGTTCTTTTATTGTTATTTCTGTAGTTGCTATCGGTCTGATGGTAGTGCCATGATGTGGACAAAGGTATAATAATATGTACATGAACGTTCCTTGTTGAGTTGTTCTGAAATAGGATGTGTTGCCTGTATCTGATCGCAGGGAGAGAAGTCAAATTCTTTTGACGTGTAGTGTTGTTAAAACAGGAAAGTCTATAAACATTGATTTACACTGGCAGTTTGAGGTGCTGGTTTACAATAAGTGGGTCTCGCCCCTCCCTTTCTTTCTCACTCTCTCTCTCTCTCTCTTTCTCCCCCTCTCTCTCCGTATCTCTGTTTCTGTCTCTGTCTCAGTCTGTCTGTTCCCCCCCTCTCTCTCTCAGTCTCTCTCGTCCCCTCCTCTATCTCTCGTTCCCATCCCCCTACTTTCGTTCTAACAAACTTTGAAATGCTTGGTTGTGTTGCAAAGAGTTTTGTTTGGGGTATGTAAACACACAGCTTTTTTCGTCAGTAACTTACTTCTGTATCTTCTAAACACTTATAGTTACAATAATTAATTTTGTAATTGCTGACGAATGAATGTATGCATACCGGTATATGAGACAAATGATTCCAGGTTCATTCATCCTAAAACGCTTGGCTTTTATTTGAAAGCATAATACTTTTGTTTGAAGACATAATACATATGTGATTCTTTTCGCAAGACTATTGGACAACTGATTTTGTGGTCGGGTCTGGTATGAATGTGTTACTTCACTCTTTCTCAAAAGACGACTTAATTTTTTTTCCATCAAATTTATGTTGGGGGGGGAGGGGGGT